CTAATGAGAATGGGGTGAGAGACAGTATCAAAAGCCTTCCTGAAGTCTAGGAAAACTATATCCACTGCCACCCCTGCATCCAATGATTTAGTGACCTGGTCGTAAAAGGCCACCAGGTTGGTCTGACAGGACCTGCCGCTGATGAACCCGTGCTGGTTGCCCCTGAGCATGCAGCTCCCTGCTGGCCCCTCCTGGATGTGTGCCAGAATAATTTTCTCGAACAGCTTACCCAGGATCGAGGTAAGGCTGACTGGCCTGTAGTTCCCCGGGTCCTCTTTCCTCCCCTTTTTGAAGATGGGAACCACGTTGGCCCTCTTCCAATCCTCCGGCACCTCTCCAGAGCACCATGAGTGTTCATAAAGCCATGCCAGGGGACTTGCAATTATGTTGACTGGCACTAGCAGACAGCCTGACTGCCAGCACCACTGAGGTGCTTGCCACTTGGAGTGCTTGTGCAGGCTGCAGAGTAACCTGCAAGGGGAGTAGCAGAGACACACTCCCCACCCCCCCGGAAGGATTTTAAGGGGGAGGTGTGTAGCAGCACACCTGTGGGTGCTTGCCACTTTAAGGGCCTAAGCAGCCTGCTGGTGACTGCAGAGCTAATCAGGCAGTCGCATGACAGCCAGCAGGCTGCCTGATTGGAGCAGGGCTGCACAACCTCAGCATAAGAACAGGCCCTGAGGAGCAGAGCCAGCAGGGGTTGCTGGGACAGTGGCAACCCCAGTGCACCCCCTGAGCGCGCTGGTGCACCCCTGATGGCCGTAGTCACTGCTTAGGTGACAGGCGGGGGGGCAGGCAGGAGCACCAGTGCTCCCCCTGCAAGTGCCGGCTGGGGCACAGGGCTGCCAGGTGAAGCAGCTGCGCTCCGAGGTGGTACATGAGTGCCAGCTGGGGCCACCAGCAAAAGTGGCTGTGGCCACTTCAAAAAGCAGCTGCGGTGCTTCCGGGTGAGTGAGGTCAGCTATGGGGGTCTCCCCTTCAGTCACTGACTGGTTGCTGGGGGGCAGGGCAGGGCACATGCCCCCCCCCCCCAAGAGGCACCAATTGCCCATGCTGGGACACTGCCAAAGCAGCATCTTCTGGCTGGAGTAGTGCTTCTCCCAGGAATATTCTGGAGGTCTAAGGTAGGAATTATGGGGGTGGAGGTTTTTAGGGACATAAGGGGGGGGTCCCAAGCCCTGAGGAAAAGGCTTTAGACCTAGGGAAGAGCGAGTGAGGCCAGCCTTGCAAAAGGGGCTCAGAGTTGTGGGCCTACACAGGGGCTAGGCAAGTCCCTTATTAGAACTGGCAGGGGTGAGGCCAGGGGCTCAAGTGAGCCCAGTTAAGCAAAGGGCTACCTTGCATAAGATCTCAGAGGCTTTAGGCCAGCCCAGCTTGTGGTGATGGTATTATGGTAGGACCCAGGAGGACCCCTCTGGAGCAGGAAGGTCAGCAGTTGCCAGGCTGACTTTCTGACCCCTCAACTGGTCACTGCAAGGTGGCTAGAGCTGAAAGACTGATGGGCAATTGAGCCTACCACAAGGGACAGGCCAGAGCTGTGTAGAGCTATCTGATACCCCAACTGGCCTGGAGGCAGGGCCAGAGCCTAGAAGAGGCTGAATGTCCCCTCTTTAGGAGGTGACATCACAGGCAAAAAACGGGTAGGAGTCAGCCAACACGCAGGCTGCTGTGAAGGAGGCTGAAGCTCAGCCTCTGGATGGGAGGCATCCTTGACTTGAAACCTCCCGAGCGAGTTGGGCAAGGGACTGACAACGAGTGTTGAGATGGAGGCTGCAACAGAGTGTCCAGGAGTAGCTCAGTAGGGAGAAGGACCGGGGCAGGTAGGCCTGTGCTGGTCCTAGGGAATGACCTAAAACTACACTCTGCTGGGAAGGATGGTATGGTGGGGTTGCCAGTGGCAGGGGAGTCCTCAGGAAGTGCCACACCAGTGCCTCTGTAGCAAACAGCAAAAATGTGGTGCTGGAAAGCCTCAGCCCTGGCTGCCTTGTGAGTGACCCTGTGGAAGGGAAATGCTAGGGCAACAACATGGAGGCCCAGAGGGCCTGTTGTCCAAGGCCTTTAGAGCAAGACTTGGACAACAATGCAGGGGCCAGAAGGATCTGAGGCCTAAATGAGAGTGGGAGGCCCAAGGGAGAGCGTTGACAAACACCTGAGGCCTGAGCAGGTCATAGGCCAAGAGTGGGGTCCAGGCATGTCAACAGACACCTGAGGCCCATGGGGTGTAGGGCCCCATAGCCCCAGGGAGGGGGTGGAGTAGTGACCCCAGTAAAGAGGTAGAGTGAGATAGACTAGAAGCCTAATGAGAAGCAGGAAGCTCCAGTGAGGGGGCATGTGAAGAAGCCCGAGTGAGGAGACATGTGACCAAGGTAAGTCTCCAGATGCCAGAGGCCGAGTATGGCCCAGCAATGGGGCTAGGGGAGTAACAGTGGATAGTTTGGACCAGTGGCCTAGTGTGGCCCAGCAATAGGGCTGGGGGAGTTGGAAGCGATTTGGATGCCATCTGCAAGGCATGGGACACAGTAAAAGGGAGGCTGGAGCCATGTATAATGCCCTAAGCACTGGGGCATTAAATGAGCAGGCTCCTGCATTTCTACATCCAGTTTTAATATATCATAGCATGGTGAGCGAATCAAGGAGGACTGCCCTAGACAGGTGGGTGGGCTGATACTGCATCTGGCCCTAGGATGGCCCCCTGTCACACTGAATCAATCAAGTTGCATGATTTCTTAAAAGGTGCCCAGTCCTCCAGCTCTTTCTTTATCTGAGCGGCTGCTTAAATTAGAAGTGTACGATCCGTCTTCAAGATTGTCCCCGAGGTCACTGGAGAGCCAGATCTGAATTACCAAGCAGCTGCTCCATTTGTATTAACATTAAATGAATTTGCAATAGCTCTTCTCTGGAGAGTCAGTGGTGCAGTGCATAGTCAACAACATGAGGCAGCTAGCTGAGAAATCACATAGTCAAGTTTTGGTGAAACTGGCTCTGGGTTTGCTTGTGGGAAGGGTTATTCAAATCTTCACATTCATCAGAGACTGACACTTTTCTGTGTGTTGGATATTCCAACTCAACTTGCAGGTTTTTGCTTTTGTCAACTATCATGAACAGGAATGGGTGAAGCAGTACAGAAAAACAGCCATCTGTAGTAATTCACCATTCCTAGAACCAAGGTAAGCTTTGTATATATTATATACTACTAACTCCCCACCAGCCCTCGGGCTTCTAGCTCATAGGAAACCTAAAAACCATTCTCTCCTTAAAGTAATTTTAAAACTGAAGCAAACACCATCAAACAGCACTCATCAGTTCAGCAAGAACAAGTCTGGAAGCCTCCTTCCTAGGATTTAAGCCATCTTTAATTTAGTCCTTACAACACTCCTGATAATCCATAATCGAGTTCCAAAGTATTTTGCATGTTCTTGAGTCTTCAGAGATAAGAGATTTATTCAGCCTAGAGCTTCAGAGCAAACCAATGCCTCCAGAAGCAACTGAAGGAGTATGTATGCAAAGATAGTAGCACTCTGCAGGAAAGGCTACTCTCCATCCCTTTCATCCTCTTGACAGGGCTTTCTCCTTTGCTTGAAGTTGGAGTTACTAAACTCTCCATGCTGCCAGGATGCTGAGAACAGTCTTGTTCCCTCACTTCTTCTTTTGACTGGCAGAGAAGAGTAGGAAGAAGCAGGCTGGCAGACAGGAGTGGGGAACAAATGAACCAGTTCAACAGACTGGTTTCACTGCTTTTAATTAGCACACAGCATCCTTCTCTGCTCCCCTCCAGCCCTGCTTTCCAACCCAACAGAGTCAGTAGCAGAGGCCAGATGCTGATCTTTTAACTCAGAGAATTGCAGAGAAGTAGGGAAGAAATGGATGCATCTTCTTTCCATGCCAGGTCAGAAAGCTTTGCTCTTTGGCTGCTACTACTGCCTTCAAGTGGTATGGCAGCAGGTGCCCTTTAAACATGGGGGGGGGCATTGAAACTGGCAACAGATTCATGGTCATTGGCACACTGCCTTCTGGTCTCATCTCAGAGAAGGCTGTGTTTAAGCACCATTTGCTGACTGTCTAGACTGTAGCTATTCCTTGCACAGTATTCCTTAAAAAGCAGAAGCAACGGT